TGTTCAGCTTCCTTTTCATTGGCAGCATTATATGACCCTATACTCACAAAGATCAACAAGAAAAGTAACCGCAAAATCATAGAATACAAATACTTAATTCAAGTAATGATACTATGCATTTGAATTAGTGTTAAGTCAAGATAACTTTTTCTTGCTCAGCTCTGTTCTTAAATGCGGTAATGATCTTACTTTGCGTACTCTTATATACTGAATTTAATAAGATTGAAAATGCACTAGATTTAAACTTAAATTCTATATAAAACTTTACCATAGTTTGATTTTTATCGATAGGAATAAACTGCCATTCATTATATAGATACTTAAATATTCCATTCGATGATTTCACTCTTATCCATCCTTCATTTTTTTCACCAGCAGGCATAGCTGTTACTTCCGATGTGTACTTCCCTTTGATCCCATAAAAAACTGCAAGCAAATCAACAACTATTTGATAGTTGACTTTTTTCCTTATGTAAATTGCTTTACACCAAGGAACAAAATCTGGATACCTTTCGACATCAATAACTATTTGAAATATCTTGTGTGGTGCACAAAAAAAAATGCCTTGTTCTTGATATTTATGAAACATATCTTTAAAATAACTAAAATGGGGTCCATATCTACCGTCAGCCTTAGCTTATTCCTGAGACCTCAAATTAAGGTGGGTATCACGTGCCAATTTTAATAAAACTAGCAGAGGCAATTCCCTTAATAAAATATTATCGCTCGGGAAATTTGACTTAACTTATAACGGATAGCACAGACCCCTTGTATTGTAACTATTTGTATGAGACGTGTCTATAAATATATTGAAATTAGTTATTAAGTTAACTATTATTTAACCTTTATTGCATTGTAAACATATGAAAATTATCGGAACTTTAATTATTATTATAATTGGATCAAGTGCTTATGCTAATAGCACAAACCACAAAACTTTTGTTTATTCTCTAAAGCAACAAGTGGATGATATACTCGTGAGAGAAAATCAAGAAGATCGTCATAAAAAACTTCAAGAGATTATCCGAGATAATGTTGACTTAAAAAGGATATCACGATTCGTCATGGGAAAATATTGGGCCCTAACTACGGAAGAAAAAAGACAAGAGTTTATAAACGAACATGAAACATATTTTACGCGATTATGTATTAAAATCTTACCTAGTTATATAGGCGGTGGTGAAATGAAGATAATGGGTGTCAAAGAATTTGGTGATGGAGTTTATATAGTAAATATCAGATTTGCTGATGATGAAAGTG